AACACAAATTTATGCCATGCTTCAACATTGTAACTTCTACACCCAGGAAGTATTTCAATTTTCCAAGATCTTTTGTTTGAAAGTGATCATGCAGAAAAGCCTTCAATTTATCAATATCCAACTTTTCACTACTTGTAATGACAATACTATCTACATAGACCACCAACAAGATCCTTCCAGCTTTAGAATCATATCTGAACATTAAATGATCAACCTAACATTACTTCATACCGAAGTCTTTAATTACCTTGTTGAATCTACCAAACCAAGCACACAGAGATTGTTTCAGTCCGTAAATTGCCTTCTTAAGCCTACACACTTTACTATTCTCCCCTTGAGTAACAAACCCTTGTGGTTTCTCCAAACACACCTCTTCATTAAGATCACCATACAAAAAGGCATTTTTAATGTCAAGCTGATACAGGGGCTAGTCAAACATAGAGCTGCTAAGGATATCAACACACAAGCTTAGCCAATCTTGGCAACTGGAGAGAATCGTTGTATAATCCACACCATACAACATACAACTGAGAGTACCCTTTGGCCACCAACCTTGCCTTCAAGCGTTCTATGCTTCCATCTGGTAGGTATTTCATTGTATAAACCCACTTACAACCTACAACATACTTACCAGGCGGAAGAGTGGTGAACTCCCATGTGTGATTATGATCAAGTGTTGAGAGTTCGTCTTCCATTGTTTGGTGCTACTCTGGGGAAATAGTGCCCCCAGAGTAAGCAGTGTTAGACAATTTTCTATGCCCTTAGCTTCAATCCGATTTAATGTACTTTTGTTATTTAGTGGAAATAAATTAAAGTGCATGTTTGATTCATGTTGATTGGTATAATTCTGTGTAATACCCTAAAACTGGACAGTTATAGAGACTTGTGTTAGTTTTAATTGTTCACAGCCATTGGATAAGTCTGGGGAGATTTATCCTGCCAAAGCTGATACTGATGTGCCACCAAGTGTCGAGATGGCCTGTCTCGGCCACCAGGGTAAGACCCAAGGCACATGTAGTATGGGATTACTTGAATCCTTTAACCGGACTAGATTTCCAGTATTGCCCTGCACCTTGGAGACAGATGGGCAAAACTGGAAAGTTACACCTGACCCCTAGACTCGATTATGACACTTCACTAGGTGTCGGATCGGGCTGTCTTTGATATGCCAATCAGTGAGATTCTTAGTGGGGATCAAAACCTTGGTATGTTGGGACAGTCCGAGAATTCATCCGAGTGGGTGATCATAGTGATAGGATCAGCCCCTTTGTCGGACAAGGGTAATGATCGGGAAAGGCTCTCTCTCTGATGGAAACCAAAATGCCGGCAGTTGATTTCAATCGTTGGAATTTTGTTTTTGCAAAATTAATGTATATGTATATGTATATGTACGGTTTCAAAATGTTTGCAAATGGTTTTAATTCCCGGGATCCATGTGAGTAGAGAGTGCAGCACTGTTCCTTGCAGCYGAGGGAGAGGTCCTCTCTTGTCGGGCAGTGCTTGATCATTAAGGGCTGAGAGGTTAAGTGTAAGACCATTTAGGATAATACCTGATGGGCTAATCTTGCACCTG